TGTTTGACAACGCCGTCCTCACCATGCAAACATTGTAGACGAATGCCTTCAATCGGAGGATATCACCCGTATGGATTGGCCAGCATACTCACCGGACATGAATCCAATAAAGCATGTGTGGGATATGCTTGGCCAACGAATTGCAGCCCGTCAACCCCCTCCCCCATGTCTACCGGAACTTCGGAGGGCATTGCTTGATGAGTGGTGTAATATTCCCCAAGATCAGATTGATAATTTGATACTCAACATGCCTAGGTGTTGTAAGGCCTGTATTGCATCGTCCGGGAGACATACTCCGTATTAACCATCATACTAACCATGTTATACTGTTTTTTGTAAATAGGTTCTTTTTTGAAATTTGCTCCAGGGAGTAAAAATCGCAATTTTTGTTAATTATGTCAAACATATAGCATCTTTTTTGCTCTTTACTTTTTGTTTAATAAATAGACTTTACAAATAAGTCAAATTTGTTTTGCTTCTGTCTCTTTCTTTGCCTGAACTTCGTTATCCTTAATTTATAGACATGAGTGTATATTGTATTTTGTATTTTAATGACATGTATTTTCGTGTCGCTCGAAAGTATACGCAGGTCTAGCATATCCTCTGTCACTGAGGAGATACTCCGTAATATCAGGTGCTGAAGGATGAAGAAAGGCGGATGAGCTTGGATTTGTTATTTCTCTTTCAATGAGAACTTAGTTGGGAGATGTGTATCTAGTGGTATTTGCCAGAGAAATAATTCATGCCTATATTTTAAGTTCATATTAGTAGTCTTTCATCCTATTGTATCTGGCAATGAAAATATCAGATGATGGATTTAAGGAGTTGCTTTAGCAACGGCAGAACAAGCTAAGAAAAATAAAGTAAGAACAACGGAGCGAGCGCAAAAAATAATTACTATCATATAAGGCATCGTTTGCGAACGGTATTGCTCACTGATGTATGCGCTCTGAACTTTTCTCGAATAGTATGGGAATTAGCAGTTCAGATTGGGACGGCGCTGTGTAATGAAATTCAATCGTCTTCTTTCTGATCGCACACACTAGTGGCTAACACTGGTAGTTCGTGGTTGATTCGTTTCTTTTTCTAATTCACTGGGAATTGATTGATTGTGAAAATAATTTCCATGAACGATTATATTTGCAAATGTATACGCCAAACATATTAAACTCGTAGTCTGCGGGTCACATATGGCCCACAACTTATGTTCCAGCATCCTACTTAATATAATTGCATGAACAAAAAATTTACTGAAATTATAGCAGTTTAATTTTTAACATTGAATATCACACACTTAGAGAATAAGAAAAATAAGTTAATTTACAGTAATCTTATTAAATGTTTAGTTATTTTGTGACAGGAAAGTGTGTTTAGAATTTTGAAAGAAAAAATGTTTTCATTTAATTTTTTAAAAAATTATTTACATTTAACTCACTCATTTTAGGATCTTTGCATTCAATATGCATTTGTTGAAACCCGGTGAGGTGTGTAGTAAAACTAATCCAAAAATTGCTGATCGAGAACATTAATATTTCCAAGAAAAGTGAGAATTGAAACACTTTTATCGTGTAACACGTAAAGATAAAGTAATTTGTGCCTGATATGTGTTCCCCCTTTACTAGTGCGACTCCTAAAGGAGTCCCGGCCTTCTTAAAAGTTCCATTTTAAGCCCCATCCTCTTCCAATTTAAGTTTTATAATTTATCTTAATAGTTTTCAAGTCTTTTTCCAGGCAGTCAAAACATCTTCTTGTTTTCCGGGTACCGAATGGCTTAGCCAAAGATATTTTTAGTGTGGCTTTATAGTCATCCAATCTTGTTAAGCGCCCTGCTCGTTCACACCTCTGTATTCCTACAAAGTTAATGATATCTGGCTCTTTAAATAGTACGCTAATTTCCGAGTTGCTTTATCTTTTCCTGTAATTATATTTAAGTCTATAAAATATGCATGTCAAAATTACACTTTCAAATATGTATCAAGAGTCTTTCATTATCTTTCTCAGTCATTGACTGTGTTTCAACAGCCTGTATGAGAGCATGCCTAGTAAAAATTTAGTAATTGAACATTATTATTAGTGCACCGAAATTTATTAGCATAAAACAGCGGTTCTTAAACTTTCGATCACCGCGGGGCCCCTTTATGCATCAGTGTGACATCGTGGACCCCCACGATTTTGAACATACCTCCCCGATTTAATATTCTTGATCAAAATCATGTTCTAGTAGAATTTTTTCATTGGGGACAATTAAGTGATCCAGTCTGGTGTGGCACATCTTTCAATTTTTCCACGAGGTTTTTCTGAGGGTGCAAAAGAGGGAAATCTTTACGTTACATGAGAGACTCTGCGGACCGCAGTTAAAGAACCGCTGGCATAAAAGATAACTATTAAAAACATACACATCATGTTACAAATCTCAAAGAGAAGAGCTTCTGTGTAAAAAAATTAAACTAAGAAAAAAACTCATAGTATATATAGAAACAGTGCACGGCTTATGTGACGTTTGCTTGCTAGAAATCGATCCAAGGCTGAATGTGTTTATTTTTATTCATCTCTTTCATAGGTTGTTCCGCATTAAAAAGCAATTTGCGGTCGCACCCTTGCTACAATACTACGAAGAGAATTAATGAAATGAGAGGTAAATGAACGGCATCATGCTTTAGAGCAATGCAATATATGGTTGTTGACATTTCGTGGTGTAATCATAGCGGGATCCTAATTATTCTCATAATTGCAAAACATATTTCATCCATAACACTTACATGTTTGGGGGAAAGTACCTATTTTTATTAAGGATATCGAATATTCTATACTTTTTTTCCCACGAAATACGTTTTAGAGGTTTCATTTGAATTTACGTAATGAATACTTATATCATTTATTCACAATAATTTTTTTTAAGAAACGTATGTGCAAAAATTTCGGCCGATTTCTGATTAATATTTAAAGGATATAAATTAGAATAATTTCTTATCAAGGATAAACTGAAAAAATTCATTCGATGCATTTCATTCAATCGGTCGATTTTATTTGGAAAGAGAGAGAGAGAGAAATACAACAATACTTTATTTGAATGTCAGAATTACTGAGTGAATAATGTGTTTTTAAAATTCGTATATTTAACCCTTTAACCGTCAAGTTATTTTGATGATTTGGGTGCATAAATTGTAGTCATTATCCCTGGCATTGCTAGTCCTGAGTAGGCCATGTATAAAAACTCCTTGGGGCTTTTTTTTCCGATTATAAAATTTATTTGAAACCATTATAGTTTTACAATTGGGGCCCCTATAGCTCGAGAGCCCCATATCATTGATGTGGTGGTAGCTACGCCCTTGACCATGATGAAAAAGACTAAGAGATGAAGCCCAAACAAATTTCTCCTGATATATATATTCGGGTATAAAACAAGATGCACTCAAAAAAATTTACCCCGTATAATACTCGGGCGTGACATTTTGGACATCTAGTGCCTTGCCCGAGATAATCTGGGGCAAGACAGTTTTAAGGTTAACGCACAAATTGTTTATTAACTATCTCAAATGCTTAATTCACTATCACTATCATCGTACCTTATAATGAAAATCTGACATGACGAAAAAATTCAATTAATTTTCAAGTATACGTATAAAACAGTATTTAATTTGTGTTTTATTCGGAGTTGAAAAATTTTATTTTACGAAGCTTGTTTTTGTTGCAAATTTAAGAGTAATTTGAAATGATTAATTGTGCTTGTTAACGTCGTATTTAAAGACGACACCAGGATTATAGTCAACTGGCCTTGTTATTTTTTTTTTTTTGAACTACGACGGCCAAGTGCCGAGGACGACATCTGAATTGACACCTCACTCTCCAAACATACACACGCCGCCAATGCGAGAACTTTAAATCTTAGCAGATTTGACGTGCATCTGCCAATGCAAGTAAAAGAAACTTTAAAAGCCCTTGATAATGTATTTATAGAAATAATAAGTCATAAATAAAGTATGGACAAGTTCTGCTTTGTAAACAACAACACTGAGCTGAAACCGAATGACTTCCAATCCTACTTCCGGTGTAATGTTAATCTATGGGAAAACATCGTTATTTAACTGAGTTTTTCAAACTTTTAATGCAATTTTTTAAAACTTGTTTTAAACTATATGGATAGAAGATGATCTGTAGATTTCAGATTCAGGTTTCTACATTATTTATTTCAGAATCTTTTCTAAAATACTTTGTTAATTTGTTTAGCTCAAAGCAATGCTGATTTTGCTATAACCGGAAGAAGAAAAGGGTACTATGACTGCAGCGCCCCCACAGTAGGCTTTACGGTAGAACTTGTCTATTGGAAATTATTTTTTATACATCAAATACAAACTGGATGCATTAAAATACAATTCAAAATAAAATATCCAAATTGAAAAACATGTATTTTGTAATCACCAGCTTCGTTATGAAATGATCGCATTAGACATCGCAAACAATTAATTTAGACGAACCAGTTTCTCTTAGAAAGTGTGATACATCTACGTATTGTGACATCCAAGCGTCGTAATCTTCAGTTACATAAATCAGTAGTTTAATACTACAAAATCGGATTATAGAGTCTGTCAATTCGTTAACTCGCATTCAAATTACGAATTGCAGTCTCCAGTTTTGTATTTTTTTTGCGAAAAAGTAAAATTCCTCTATTTCCGTCATGCTTGGTTTTTGTTTAGTCGATTATTGCCATATTGTTATTTTTTAGAAAATATAGAAAAAATTTAATGTATTTTTCAATTTCTGTTATTAGTTCACAATCTCTCTCTATATATATCTTGTTTAAATTTCCAATCGTTAATAAAATAATTTCTATTCATCCATTCGAGTTCAAATACATTTTTTCAAGTTTGTAGAGGGTGACACTTGATGCTAATACAGTTTTTTCAAAAATTAATTCATTAATTAAATTAAAAAATGAACAAAAAAGAACAAGCAAAAATAATAGTCCAACAGCATATATAAAAAGGAAAATCGTTCGTTGTGTCCCTGTAGCGCAATGGATATCGTGTTGGACTTCTAATCCAAAGATCGTGGGTCGAATTTTACCTGGGATAGCCTAATTTCTGATAACGTGATTTATGAATGAATAAATAGTAACAAACAAAAATTATAGTCCAACATCGTATATAAAAAGGAAAATCAGGTGTCATCCTCGTCACTTGACCGAAGTTCAAAATTACGAGGTCTGTCACCAATAACCCGCGTATTGCTTTAGAGTGTGACGTTAATACATTTTTTATCACTTTTTCTCTTCTACCGAAACCATAAAAAATATAATTTATTTCCATGCACCATAATTAATGTTATGTTAATCATTCAATTTCTGCTATTAGCTCACACTCTCCATATATTTATCTTGGTGGAATGTTCAATCATTAATAAAATACATTTTAAAGCGCTCCATTGAGCTGAAATTCTATATACATGATTATTTTGGATGGCAATACAGTAATTTAATTATAATTATTAAAAAATAATTGATTAAAACTAATTATTCAAAGAATTACAAATACAGCCACATTTGCATCATTTTTGCGACTTAGCGACCCTTTTGGCGTCTTGTGTCAAAACTTGAAAAGCTTTTTATCTCACGTTTTAAAGCGCTCATTTGAGCTGAAATATTATATACAAGATTGTTTTGGATGACAATATGATCCTTTAATGAAAATTAATAAAAATTAATTACCACTTAATGTTGTGATTCTGACATATGGTATATACATATTTATATTAATTGTAACTATTTAAATAAAAAGTAGCTAAAATAAAATCTTTCTTTGTTGATCAAAGTAGGAATTGACTTATTTTTTTTATATTACTTGTTTTTAATTTGAGTAATACCCTGAACTATAGGTGGGACTGAGTGATAACCACGTAAGTCGGTATTATTTCGCGTATAAATTATTTTTAATTGGGGTTGGAGACGAAAGAAAATAATAATTTAGAAAAATAAAATGTTTAATAAAATCGTAGATAACACAAATACTAAATCGGAAACCAAAGTTATTTTGATGCAGAAGGTTTCATAAAATATAACTAAGTAGACGGCCGGCTCAAATAATGTTTTTTTCTCTCGCAAAATTTCCTCGTAGTATGGTACTTATTTTTTATCCTTTGTTATGTTGAAAAAATATGCTCATCGCTTGAGTCTGTAACCCTTTTTTCAATTAAGTGCTGAGGCCTTCTGTCAAATTCCCAACTGTTATTTGGTCTTCTGATTGAACTGGGTCTACAGAATCAGACTTCTTCAATGTGATGCTTTTTCTCATGCACTTCTATGAGCTCATCAATTTTCAGCTCCTGATTGTTGGAATCCAGCAGCTTTTAAACATCATCACTATCCAATTCTAAATTTATTTGCTTGGAAAGATCGGCAAATTCTTCAATCTCCTTACCAATTTCACAAATTTTACGGCATTTTTTTTTTCTCAAACAAAATGCGAAACGAGGAGATCTTAAAATCGCGTAACTCTGGATTCGCGAGTCGAGGTATTACTGCAATCTATAAATGAACTTTAATGATGTTTTCCTTTCATCTCTACGAAGAAATTAAGGCTGTTTTCGCCATATGCACAAGAGCATGAACTCAACGCGGAGCACATTTTCAGACAGAAAACATGCCTCAATTTTTTATAAAAATTGGTGACATTGTAACACATGCATTTGTTTATAATATAGCGTTATTAATATTTCAAAATATTTTATAAATAATTAGTTTTCCTTTTAACATGTAAAGGGATAGCTCATGTAGCATTACGGTATAGGAGAAAAAACGCGAAACACATTTTATAAAAGAAAAAATGTTTCAACTTGGATAAAAATGAGTAGTATGATAAAATAAGTGATTCTCTACAGGTTTGTGAAGCTGAAATATAATATTAATTTTTGAGTACTTTTATATCTGAAAAAATATTCCGAATTCGGGCCCTATTCTTTAACATTAGCCAAAAACAGCCTTAACCCCTTAATCGAAAGAGGTGGAAATGGAAGTCTTCTCGTTGAAATTCATCTATAAGTCTTGCTCAGAGAGAGAAATGTTACAAGAGATACCAATTACAATTTTTCTTAGCGTTCTTACTTAAATTAATAAATAGTAATTAATGTATCAATTATTAATGAACTATTTCTTTCATATCCAAGGCTTTTTTTATACGTTCTTTTTTTCCATCGGACATTCCTTTTGATAATTTTTGTCATACCTTTTTACTTAATATTCAGAACTAACATTTACGAATATACCGATCAGTGATTTTCAACCACTGTGCCACGGAACTTTTGTGTGCCACCAAATTCTTGAAATGTGCCACCAAATTCTTGAAATGTGCCACCAATTTTCTTACAATTCTTAATTATACCCTGAATCCACATTATTTCCCAAACTTATACAAACAAAATATGATTGGGTTGATAATCCGTTAGTGATTATGAATTCATCTGTATATGAATAAAATTTGGAAAAAGGAGAAAAAAATAATTTCGCTTTGTATATATAATAATCGAGATTTAATTTCAAAACATTCGGAAGAATCAATTAATTGTTTTTGGATTGAAATTAGAGGCGATAATCCCATAATAGCCAAAAACGCTTTAAAAACTCTTGCAGCATTAACAAATATAAACATAAAACAAACATGGAGACTTTTAAGTGTAGATGATGAGATGAGAGTGGCATTATCATTTTTACGAAATTATCAAAAATCATCAAGTTCAAAATTTCGCATTAAATGTATTCTTACAGTTAATTTGTTATTAATTACTCAATGAACTTTTTGTCATTTTTTTAGTACACATTATTTTGTTAACATTGAACATTATTATGATAAATTATTTTATATAGTGTATTACAGATAAGTAAAACTCTTAAGCTTGTGCGCTGTCAAATTTTTAACTTGTTAAAAGTGTACCACAACAGAAACAAGCAATAAAAGAAAATTTTTTTTAGTCAATTCCTACTTATATCAACAAGGAAAAATTTTATTTTAGCTACTTTTTAATAGTTACAATTAATACAAATATGTATATACATATGAAAAATCACAACATTAAGTGATTATTAATTTTTATTAATTATCATTAAAGTATCGTATTATCATCCAAAACAATCGTGTATATAAAATTTCAGTTCAGCTGAATGCTTTAAAACGTGAGAAAAAAACCTTTTCAAGTGTTGACACAAGTCGTCAAAAGGGTCGCTAAGTCGCCAAAAAGTATGCCAACGTGGCTGTATTATTAATTCTTTAAAGAATTAGTTTTAATCAATTAATTTTTATCAATTATAATTAAATTATTGTATTGTCATCCAAAAGTTTCATATATATAAAATTTCAGCTCAATGGAGCGCTTTAAAATGTATTTTATTAACTATTGAAAATTCCACGAAGATAAATAAATATATAGAGAGTGTGAGCTAACAGTAGGAATTTAAAAAGGCTGAGAATCACACTGAACTAGACGTCAGATGTTAGTCTTTAGATGCTAGAATCAAACAAATCCTTATGTTTTAGAACATAAAGTTCAATAAAAGATGTGTTTTTATTTCTTTGATTTAAATTTTTAAGTACTGGGTAACAAAACAATTGAAAACGAATATTTATTTTACGAAGCGAAAAATATACTTTACGTGAGGTAAAAAAGTAAATTTAAATAATGAATTATTTAATTTCTTAAACTGATGTGTTTATTACTCGATATTGATCATCGATATCTTGTAGTGAAACAGGAAGCCTTTAATTGAAATAAATGTTTTAAAAACAAATTTTATATCATGTAAAGGGTTATTACCCTTTAAATAAAAACTTGAGCTTATTATTTACATTTTTGTTAGAGCGAATTTGAGGAGTTTTATAAAAAAATAAAACTAATTCTCGCTGCTTTTCTATAAATCCTATCCATGTGTTTGAAATTCATCCATGAATAATTTTTACTACATAGATGAGTCTTTTAAAGTTTACTTTAAACTAAACTCTTTAATCTTCTTAGTAGAAAGTAAACATTTCAAATTTATTTGTGAAAACGAATGGTAATGAATCGGAAAAATTATATAACAGGCACAATTTTCTGTGTTTCAAAACAAAATAATGTACCTCTTTCCCTCTGCAATCTTATCACGGTACTTGGACGTCATTGCTTTAAAATGGCAATGTATGCCCTGGTTCAATTATTCGATTTGTATACATCTTCAAAATTATCAATCACTGTCACGTTTACTGAGTAAATTTTTAAAAAAAGACTGGTTATTGATGAATATTCATCTAATTTTGTAAGAATCAACACACACATCAAACTGCAATAAACGGGCTAGAAAGTCAAATTTCTGGATACAAACTACCTCTTCAAATCGTAAAACACATTCCCGACCATATCCCTTGACGAAGATTAAGAATTAAATAACAAACACGTAAACTTGAAATAAACAGAAGATATAGCAAACTACATTATTCAGGCAGTCGAAACGCCGTAATTGCCTTCAAAATAGCAAGAGAGAGAGAGAAAAATGTATCTTCTCCATGTAGAGTACGCCACAAACATTGGCATAAGTGCAAATGTTAATGCTGTCGAGCAGATCCGAGATATTTCTTCTTTGTCGGACAAAATACTCTTTCGGGTGCTTACGTATTACACCATAACACTCAACTGCGTTCTCTTTCATAGAAACTAAATCCCAAATTTTATACATTTTTCCCAATAAAATAAGAGTAAAATAATGTTACAAATTATATAAACTATGTTATTATTTTCCAACAAGTGAAACCAAGAGATGCTGTGTTTTAACACATGCGTGGGAACAGTACAGTTTATTAAAAAAAGGTTATTCTCGAAGTTACGCCAATAAGATTTCTGTGTACGAATATGCAAAATAAAAGAATTTTGCCTAGAATGCACATCGCCGCATTTGGCGACGTTTTTGGATTCGATGAAAGTTGTCGGCGATTTAATACTTAAATGTTAAATTAATTAAACCGGCTTTAGGGGGGAGATTTCTTAAAGCTATATAAGACTTTCCTCTCATCTCTCAGCAATATAAAAACATCGCTAATTCTCTCAGGAATTTTAG